GTGTATCCGTACCGGTAATTCCGGTCCGGTTCATCCCGGTACCGGTCAACCCATCCCGTTCCGGTCTGGTACCGGTTCATTCCGGTCCGGTGATTCCGTTCCGGTCCGGTGCCCAGTCTTACGGCTTGGGGTACCAAATCTGGAGAAGATATTATTTTTTAAAAATGCGGTGACACTTTTACCTTCATTGTTGGGGAGCACAACTGCTTCCACCAACTTTGATGCATAATCAACCGCAACAAGAATGTACTTCATCCCTTGTGAACTCACAAATGGACCCATAAAATCAATGCCCCATACATCAAACAACTTTATAACCAATATAGGATTCATAGGAAGCTCTTGCCTCTTTGAAATCCTTCATTCTCTTTGGCAACGATCACAAGACTTTGCGAAATCGTGAGCATCTTGGTGGATGGTAGGCTAGTAGTGTCCACACTGCAAAATTTTATGCGCAGTCCAAATACCACTATGATGCCCACCAACAGGCGATGAATGGCATGCTTCGAGTACACTCAACATCTCAAGTTCGGGCTAATAACGACGAATAATCTCATCAGCACAACTGCAATACAAGTAAGGCTCATTCCAAAATAATTTCTTCACATCATGCATAAATCTCTTCCTTTGGTGAAAAGACAAGTCCGGAGGCACCAAATCGCTTGTCAAGTAATTAGCAAAGTCTACAAACCAAGGAATCAGATCACGAGAAGCAGCCAATACCTGCTCATCTGGAAAATTATCATTAATTTCAGCCCCATCACCAAGCTTTAGCATAGCCTCTTCCTCTAATCTGGACAAGCGATCGACAACTTGATTTTCGGTCCCCTTTTTATCTTTTACCACAAAATCAAACTCTTGCAGCAACAATACCCATCTAATCAACCTTGGTTTTGCATACTTCTTCGCCATCAGATACCTCAATGCAGAATGGTCAGTATACACTATGACCTTAGTACCAAGCAAGTAGGATCGAAATTTTTCGAATGCGAAAACCACCGCAAGAAGCTCTTGTTTAGTTACAGTATAATTCTTCTGGGCCACATTTAGAGCTTTGCTAGCATAGTAAATAGGATGAAGTATTTTCTCTCACCAATGTCCCAATACCACACCAAGCGCCACTCCACTTGCATCACACATCACCTCAAACGGTTGTCCCCAATCTGGTGAGATAATGATAGGTGCAGTAATCAACTTCTCCTTCAACTCTCCAAATGCTCTCAGTCATGCATCATCAAAATCAAACTTAGACTCATTTTCGAGCAGTTTACACAATGGATGTGCAATTTTTGAGAAGTTCTTGATGAACCTCCTATAGAAACCTGCATGCCCAAGAAAACTTCTAACACCTTTTACAGAGATAAGTGGTGGAAACTTTTCTATTACCTCTACTTTTGCTCGATCAACCTCAATACCTTTATCAGAAATTCGATGACCCAAAACTATTCATTCTTTCACCATAAAGTGACACTTCTCCCAATTTAGCATCAGCTTGCAATCTTCACACCTTTGCATTAACTCAGCCAAATGATCCATACAACGATCAAAAGAGTCACCCTACCACAGAGAAATCATCCATGAACACTTCAATAGTGTCCTCCACCATATCAGAGAATATCGACATCATACAACGCTAGAAGGTCGTTGGAGCATTGCACAACCCAAATGGCATCCATTTGAAGGTGAAAGTCCCATAAGGGCAAGTGAAGGTGGTATTCTCTTGGTCCTCTAGAGCTATAGAAATATAATTATAGCCTGATTAACCATTAAGAAAACAATTTCAACCCTTACCAGCAAGTCTATCCAACATCTGATCCATGAATGACATCGAGAAATGGTCCTTTTCTATTCAAGCATTTAACTTTCGGTAGTCCATGCAGACTCTCCATCCAGTCACGAGACGCATCGAAACAAGCTTGTTTCTTTTATTAGGAACCACATTAATCCTACCTTTCTTGGGCACACACTGAACAGGACACACCCAACTATTATCTGCAATGTGATAAATAACTTTGGCATCCAACCACTTGATGATCTCCTTTTTAACTACCTCTTGCATAGGTGGATTTAATATTCTCTGGTGCTCGATACTGGCTTGTGATCTGGCATGAATTAGATTTTGTGAGAACAAATATCGAAACGAATCCCAAAAATATCCGTAATAGTCCACCCAATAGCTCGCTTGAACCTATTTAACACAATCACTAAGCATTCTACTTGTCTCGCATTTAAATCTGCCCCAATGATGACCGGCAAAGTATTATCTCTACCCAAGAATACATACCTCAAATGCGGTGGTAGAGCCTTAAGCTCCAATTTCGGTGCCTCCACAATAGATGGTCTCGCGGGTGGGGACTCATGATTCTTCATGTCTAGCTCATACTTCTTTGGTTTTGGCTGATATTCACATCTATCTAGTGCATCTACCAATTCATCGTGCTCTTCAATACCATCACTTTCAAAATTCATCATAATTGTTGCTAGTGCCTCAACACCTAGTCGCTCTTCAATTTGCACTTCTGTTCCACTCTAAACTCTGTAAGTTATAGCAGCTACTGTTTGGAGCTCACCACTCTGCTACATGGATCTACAAATATTGACAGTTGTTTCTTCATTGTTCAGTCTGAACTTCATCTGCCCCTTCTCCATATCAACCAACGCACGCCCTCTGGCAAGGAATGGTCTCCCAAGGATGATGGGAACCTTAAAATCAACCTCACAATCAAGAATCACGAAATCTACAGGAAAGATAAAAGACTCCACTTTCACTAGCACATCTTAGAGTACACCAATCGGTCTTTTCACAGTTCGATCGGCCATAAGTAACCGCATTGTAGTAGGCTTTGGATCCCCTAGACCTAACTTTTTGTAAATAAATAATGGCATGAGGTTGATGCTAGTACCAAGATCACACAATGCCTTAGCAAAGTGTAACAACCTGATAGTACATGGAATCGTGAAGGCACCAGGATCCTCCTTCTTTTGCACAAGAGACCTTGTAGTAATAGCGCTACAAAGCTCCAATCTATTATCATCTTCAAAACTCACAGACTCTTCTTTGTCACCACATCTTTCATAAACTTTGCATACCCAGGAATTTGCTCCAAAGTTTCTATCAATGGACGTTGATGGAAAGCTGCTTCAACATAGTAATAAACCTGTGATATTTACCATCTTCAGTCTTCTTCACTAATCTCTGTGGAAACGGTGGTGGAGGTCTAGGTATGGGGATAACTTTCTGAGATATCTCTGC